TATACACACACACACACACACGCATTTATATATATATAATGCCATATATATATAATGCCATATATATATAAATATACATAGGACATGCAACCTGTGTATTTTTATTACGGAAGTTTCTTCTGTTGTAGCATGGAGCTCTGTAGGCAGCGCATCTTTACATTTACACCCATGCAACCCAGGGTCAATCTCGGCATGGCTTCATTTGAAGGTCTCCTTTGTTTATCACAATTTATTCGTATTATACTGATTCCCCGGATGACCCTATTGGGGTGGGGTTAAACTTGTGGATTTAACTCACAAAGCAGAGTACGCTAAAAAAAGATGATTACACAAGTAAACTGGAGAACACATTTATTATTACTTTAAATGTTTAACTTAAATCTAAAAATCGTAATGTTGATCAAATATATAAAGAATCATCATCCACAATCTCAATCCTATGACGGACATCAGGCCTAAAAAGGAGGGCGGGCTGTTCATCCATCATGAAAAGAATTGTTCGTTCTTTTATAGAACACAATGTCTTACGTCACATTGATTATTACTTGACTTCCCTTCAATTCCCTGGAGACGAATCTGCAAAAGACTAAAACAATAAAATTTATAACTGGAAATTACTTATTTCCACAAAACTGAATTAAACGCAGTAGCGCATTAAAATGTATAGTCAGTTTTCTATATTACTTTTAATGACATTTGTTAGTTTTCTGTTTTAAATTAAACAGAAGATGAAGCTAATATATGTTCTAATCAGTGCTTGGATGCCTTGTTAAAAATTTTACTACCGAAAATTTTACTATTGTAAGTCTTTTGACTCGAATTTATGGGCATAAGCTTTACTTTAACCATAATTCCTCCCAAAAAAAATCCAATTTACACTTTTTTTGTGCTAGTTCAGTAACATTTTTTTAACAATAATTTGACCCCCTTCCTCTTGGATATTATTAGAATCAATCCATTTTTAACTATGTCCTGCAGTGGACTGATCGTTAAGACACAGTTCCCAGTAGAACAGCGAAGTCAAGCATCACTGACTGTGGTCAGTGTGTGGCTGGGTGACCACTTGGGTCAATCAACGAAGGGACCGAGGGCGTGCGGTATTGGTCCTCGTTAAACTGTTCTACCGTAAAGTGCTCGACTTTGCACGCAGGTCTTTGAGCTACCGAAGGGGGGTGCCATCCCCTCTGCAGAGGATCAAAATTGTGATGGTATGTCTTCAGTTCATTCTCAGGGATGTTTCACAGACCGTCGCCAATAGCTCATTGTGCAGCTCTAGTGTGGCATAAATAAACTACATCTTTAACTATACTAAATTCACTGAGTATTTTCTGTTGAATCCTGGAAAGTTAAGGTCTAAATCCCTAAGTTATTTACAATTTCTTTCATTTTAATAATATTTTCGATTTAATAAAAATGTTCTTAATAATAAAGGAGTAACTTTTAAAGTAATTATGAAAGAGAATAAAAAACTTTTCTAATGTCTGATAATATTTTTAATGAAAATTTGTATGAAAAATACTTTTTAATTTTTTTTATTAGTTACAAATATTTAATTTCAATTGTGTATGGTGTAAAAACAAATATCAAAAACTAACTTCTTATATGAAGTAAAGAATAAACATTAAATGTGAAATATCACAAAATTATTAAATATCGCAAAATACAATTTTATGATGTTAATTTAAACTTAGATTTTCTTCATTAAAATATAGTTGTTATTTAGTAAAATCATTTTGTCTGTTGCATGGTTTACCTTTTTCAGATAAATACATGTCCCACGACCATTAAGTATGCAATATTAACTAATTTTCCCTTTCGTTATGTTTGCTTTCTCCATTATTTTAACACTTAAAAATTTAACTCTATTTAGTTGTTTTTCATTGAGGTAGCAAATAACATTTGCGTTTAGAGCAGAATAGCCACCTTCATCTCTTGTGATAGTCTGTACTTTTAGTCAAATTATGATTTTTGAAATATAGATGTAGGAGTATGAAAGTTTTATGAGAATTTTAAAGAGGAGAATATAATATACTGTGGGTTTCAGATTTTCATAGTGCTCTCTCTCTTTTTTAATTAAATATTTAATTTATCCAAAATACATAAATCCAGAAAAGACACTATTGATAAATAATAACTTTTCAGTATTAAATATTCAAAAAAGGAACTATCATTTGCGAAGAATTAAATTTCTTTTTATAGTCATTACGTATGCTTTTTCAATTGAAAACTTTTGAGTAATTGCCGATGTTTAATCTCAGATTTAAAAGCTTGAAATGTAAAGCTGGATCTATATACGAAAAAACACCTTACTTTTTAACTTTATCTTAAAGTAAAATTTCTTTGCAACCCAATTTCAATGAAAATATTACTGACTTTAAAATAACTTATTTCATTTGAAGTATTAAATAAGTTAGTTTTTAATTATTTTAAAAACTTAAATATTTTAATTTTATGTTATATATTACATTAAAGTATTTAAATTAAAGCAGATTAAAATTATCAATTGTCAACCTGCAACTTTTATTAATTATTGTTTATTGTGTATACTTTGTTGATTAAAAACAAATTTGTTTCATTTTCCTAAACAGTTATATGTTTAGAGTTATTACTTTTGTAATATTTAATATATTTTTATTTTTTATAGTAGTTATTTTTTAATAAATATAACAATGTACGGTTATAAAAACCATGGAGAGAACTAATTTATGAAATATATTGGCACTTCAAATCTGATCCAGCTCATCATAGTAAAAGTTTCCTGACTGAAATACCAAGAAAGTGTTTGATTTGAGTGTCACTCTCTTTTTGAACTTACCTATAAGTTAGAATTACTCCTAGAACACCCTATCTCCACTGGTTACATCATTTCTTAAAAAGGCAGTCTCAAAATTCTAGGAAAACTTCCTTGTGAAGCATTTATAAACAGATTCAAACAAACAAGTTTATCTTTTCCTACATACTATAGATATGCAACATTGTCCCTTAAAAATGATTCCCTATAGATAAAGATAGAGCAGGGTAATTTGAAGCTGTGAACATTTCCTTATTGTAAAGAAGAATCGGCTAACTTATTAGTAAGGAAATGACAAGGAGATACATGGGTATCGTTTAGAGTATTGCTTCCTTGTGAGGAAAGAAGCAATATTTTACATTTTTGAACAAGGAAGAGCCTCATATCAACGTCGTAAAATGATTTTTTAAGTTTTAATGTTTACTTAATAAAATCAGAATTTTTTTTTTGAACTTTTAAAAAAATGAATAGTTTGAGAAAATATTGCCATTTACAATGAGGGGGGGGAGTGTTTGAAAACCCTAAACCCCTCCCTTACCTACGTCCCTGGTTTTCATATTAACTTCGCAGCAAGAAATTGATGATCATAGAAAAGGAAAAAACTTCCTAGTTAGAAAAAAGTAAAAGGAAGAATAAAAAGTTTGTATTCTTCAAAAACAAAAGAGCTATGAAATTTCTACATTCTGTGTTAACTTAAATGTCTCAAAGAAAAATTTCATGAAAATTTTTAAATATTAATATTTTTAAGAGGGAGAAAAATTAAGATTTTCAAATTTGGAATGGTGATATACTCTGTTTTATCAATAATTTTCTGGGCTCACTAGATTCACATGCCCCTGTGCAGTTGTCAGTTGGTTGCAGTAGCCTGAAGTATACATTTTTTTCTACCTCAATGAATGAGTACATAAGGGAATTTTAATTGTGTTAGATTTTATGAATTGTTCTTAAATAATATTTTCCTTTCAAAATTATAATTAGCAAGAAGCTTGGTTAGTGTATAAAATTTTGATCAACTCATAGACAATAAGATTTTTTTTCTCAACATTTTCTAATTGTGTCTATTGCTTGTATTTTTTTTTTTACAGTAACTTGCCTCATGCGTAATGACTTTTCTTCATGTTTTTTTTAGGGTTCATTTATATTTATTAGTCATGACGGATGGTATTGAGAAATTTGAGGTTACTGATTGGGATCTTGAAAATGAGTTTAATCCTAATCGTGTAAGACATAAGCTGACGAAGAAGCAGCAAATTTATGGTATGGTTATTTATTTTCTGTATTTTTGTTGATGAATAATACTTTTTATGTCCAGGGTGATTATAAAATAACTTTCCCACCAAATGACCTTTTTCTTTTCTGAGTGTTAGTGGTCACCCTTAATAATTCTTGGTAATGCTTGTTTCATTCTATATTTAGCTGAATGCAGTGGTCGAAAAACTACATATTTTTTGTAATTAATTGCACCTACTTCATTATAAATGTAATTAGTTACAACTCATTTTTTCAAATATTGTGAGTGACTACAAACTACTTTGGAAATGTAATCACAACTTCACTACTTTTAGGTACTAAAAGTAGTGAAGCTTTACCTCTATGTTCGAAATGGTTTTGAATAAGAAATATGAAGAATTATTTATAAATATTTATTCATGTTTACATGAGCCTGTTTGTTATTCTAAACAACTTTATTACGAATGTGTGATTTTAACCAATAACTTTTTATGTCTATCTCGACAGTGAATGCTTAATTTTTGCTAAAAAATTATCAAATATTTGTGATATTGTAAAATGCTCTTTTATTTTCTCTAAGAAATAAAGTACATCAAAAATTACAAAGCAAAATATCTTCCTTCCTATTTAAATAACAGGTAAGTGTTCTTTTAATGTTTCCCGAGTATACATAGATTTGCATTTTAAGATATGGCTATTCAAATTAGAAGCAGGTGACTTTCTATGATAGCTTTTTGTTCAAAGGACAAAGTTTACAAGCGAGAGGAGTAGTAGTAGTACTTTAATTACTTCACCCTATTTTATACGTGACAAAAAAATGTCCATCTTCATATTTCTCAACCAGACTGAAAAAAGTACTATACGCTGGACAGGGTATTTCAATGCTATCATCATTAAATATAAGATTTCTGGAAAACAATGAAACAACCTTTATGAAAAAAAAAACTTGCGGCACTCAAGTATTAGGCATAATTTTTATTTTTGCATTCTCCTTATGCCCAATGACGGTCACACGTAAGATTTGTTTCAATCAGTTTAGTAAAATGAATTGTGTCTAAACCACATTTCTTTATGAATCTAATGTTAAAATTAATTCATAGGAATTGCTCCACTACCTTAAAAAGTGGTGTATTATACTACTAACTACAAAAAAAAGTAAACTACAATAGTCTTGCTACTTGTAACGAGCTACTTCTGACCACTAGCTGAATGTTATTCTGAATAATCTTATCTGCATGATAAATATGTACATGTGAAAAGAAAAACTTTTTGTTATTTTTTCAAATTATTTAAACAGCGCATTTTTAAAATAGAATTTTAATTTTGTAATTAAGACCCTTATTAGGGGAAAAGGATCCAGTAATTCTGAGGATCGGTATTTTCCAATGTGTATTGATATCTCTGAACAATTTATTATATAAATACTAACAATTTCTAATGTAGAAAAATCTTGTGAGGTGTTTTGATCATCATTGGGGTCCATTTTTGATGACGTTAGCATTTTTGATTATTTTTTCTATTTTAGGGTATTCTTTAAAATACTTCTTAGATAGTTTTAAGAAAAATAATTGGGTCATTATTTTGTATTTTAGAGCAATTTTTAAGTTTTTGAGGTACTTTTAAGTTTTTGTGTACAAGAACTAAAATTGTGATGCAATAAATTATATTGACGATTAGAGTCAAGTGTTGCAAAAGGGAAAGATAGAATAGAGTGTGGTGCAGCTAAGTAGAACAAAGTTATGGAGAAGAACTCTAACTTCCAAATTATGGCAAAGTCTCTAGTACAGTGTGTCAAAAATGTAGTCAAACGTTTTGACGTTTTAAAAAATCAATAGATCCATTTTATAAGCATTCAAAAACCAAATGTCATTTCACTGGAGGAACATTCAACAACCATTTTTATTCGTGCCCTGTGGCAGTCTTCAACCGTTTCATTGAGATCAGATACCATAAACCGTTTCATTGAGATCAGATACCAACAACCCTTTCATTGAGATCAGATACCAACAACCATTTCATTGAGATCAGATACCGACAACCATTTCATCGAGATCAGATGCCAACAGCCGTTTCATGGAAATCAGATACCAACAGCCATTTCATTGAGATTAGATATCAACAACCGTTTAATTGAGATCAGATACAAACAACCTTGCCAACAACCGTTTCATTTTCGTTTAGATTAGACATATTTTTTATGCTGGCCCTCTAGTGGAATGGCATTTGGTTTTTGAATGTTTATAAAATGGATCTATTGCTTTTTTAAGACATCAAAACATTTGACTGCATTTTTGACCCACTGTAGGTATGGTGAGTCAACAATATTTCAAATTGATGTGTCTAAAAGCTGGACTGTATGCACCAATCATATCAGTAGATGTTGAAAGAAGCTTCTGTAGGCATTAAAATTTGCTTTCAGGCAAGAGAGGATAATTTACATTTCAAAATATCAATAAACATTTAATAACCCAATATCAGAGTTCTCCCAAGGAATAACAAAAGCGCAGGACGCTTCCTGACAGAAAAAGGCACATTGAGTTTTGAAAGGGCACTCACTTAACACTGTAAAAATTTGTCAAAATGTGTAATATTACATAATAACTGAATTTCATCCTCAATACCTTTTTATACTATTTTATGTGTATATTTCGAATAGTAATTCTCACTCATCAAAACAAGAGAAAATTTTATAGTTTATAAAAAAAATGTCATGCTAAATAACAATCACTGCATAATTTTTTTTCTAAAGAAGTAAACTAAAAAAGAAATGATTGTTAGTAAACAATTTGAAAGCTTTTTTCTATAACAACTGAAAATTTTGAGAAAACAAATATTTAAAGATGCCCCCTTTTTTTTAAAAAAAAAGAAGGCACTTAAAAAATAATTTTAAAATTTAAAATCACTTAAAAAATTCATCAATATTCCCCAGAAATAGTAAACTTTAAAAAATTTAACCAGTTGAGAATAATCTTGAAAAAATAAATAACTAATAGTTATCAGAATTAAACCTATAAAAAGGATAATTTTACCAGTGTGTAATTATTATTTAAATCGTGAAATAATTTTGTTTTAATGGAAAATGAATAAAAAGGCAATGTTCTTTAGGGATGGCCACTTATTTTTACCAGTAATGCGGGGCGCTCTTCTAAAATCACTCAGGGAGAACACTGCAATATATACAATAATCTCTGATATTCCAGTTTTTCTATTCATTAAAATTTATACACAAAAAGAAAAGGTTAAGGAGTAAATATATTTTTGTTTGTTATTTTAGCATATAATATGATTATTTTAAACTCTTATGAATTTAGAACATGCATTGCATTGTTTTATATATTTTGAAACGAATTAAGGAAATTTTAAAGAGGAAACCATTATTCTATTTTAGTATTTTCACTTAAATAATAGGGAATTTTCATAATTTTAAGGAAATTTTTTGCATCTTTAGGGCAATTTATAGATATTTTTTATGTTGTCTAAATCTGTATTTTAGTGATCATTCATTGTTAGTCATCAATTGTTTTCAATAGCATTTATAAAACTTATTTTAAAGACGATAATCCTCAAGCATCAGATTAAATTGCCATTGATTTTCGACCAAAGATGTCACAGTCAAAAATATGTTAAAGTGGTTATAAAATTTTTCTGAAGTTTCTCTATAGACATTTATCTATTTGATTTTATTGTTGCTTACTAGAAATATTTTTCAAGCAGTAAAAAATTAAAATTTTTTTCTTAAAGTTATGTTTAAAATATGACAAAATATATAATAAAATAAATTTTAAAAAAAGTAATACTGTTTACACAGAACATGATTGTTGGAAAAATAATGGTGATTTTTACTAAAAAATGGTGATTATACTATCAATGAACAACCATACTGGTTTAAAATTAAACAGATAGCTAAACTGTAGTTTTTGAAGGTTTTACAGTGGAAAATGAAAAGCATTTTAATAGCAAATTTCAGAAAAAATCAAGATATAAGGAAAATTAATTAATCTTAATTTTCTTTCCTTTACCTATTTTTTTCAGAATCTGTAAAAAATATTAAATGTGTAAAAAGTCTGAATGATATTATATTTTTTTCTTGCAAGTACAGCTTTTAAAATGCATTATAAAAAATAAATATTTAAAAAAAATATTTTAGTAATTATACACTCAAATTATATAACAATAAGTGAAGTTTGAAAGTTTAATTTTCTTTACAAAATGTCATTTTAAATTTAAGACCAAAAGTTTGAACTAAAAAAAAGGAATGTTAGTTAATATTAAGATTTGTACATTTAAGTTTTTATATAAAAAAAAGAAGTAATATCAAAGCCGTTATTTTTTGATATATTACATTAATTATTTACTACCACGTCATTATACAATTAAATTAATTATTTTAAAAGCTGATAAAAATTTTTGACTCTTTAACACTAAAATGTCACTCTTCAACACTAAAAAGTCAATATCTTTTCAAAATGTATATATATTTTTCTTTTGTAATGTTTCTAATAAGTAGAAAAGATATTTGTCTAATCTGATCTTTTGTATTGGTTAAGTGTTCAACAGCAAGTTTTTTTTTTATTTTTTAAATTAATTTAGGTTAAGAAAAATTAGAATAAGGGTAAATTTTATTATTGATATTTTTTCTCTCAAAACAATTGAAAAGTTAATTTTTAAACTTAGAATATAATGATTAAGCCCAGTTTCCAATTAGGCTTATGTACTGAACAAACCACAACTTTGCTTAATTTTCTAAAATAGTTGAGCCATCTTCTCAACAAAAAAGTAGCATATGAATGAATTATACTCAGCAATCTCATTTGCGTACAGTAAAATCAACACATGCCAATCTGAATAAGTATTGTTTTAATGATCAGATTTTCTCCTAGTGAGTGCTAAACTTAATGTTTAAAAGGCTTGAATTCAAATATGCTAATAAATTAATGATAACTGTAAATTAAGATGCAAAATCGGGCTCATAAACTTCCTTTTTTAGATGAATTTGTATTCTTGATTTTGTAAAAAAGGGGTTCAAACTATGTAAGAAATCAATCTATTAATTTTTGATATATGAAAATTTATTAATTATTTGTAATTTTTTAAAATGTATTATTTGTTTAAGAAATTCCAGACATAGCGTAAGCAAAAAAGTGAAATTAAGGGGGACCTAATGTCGGAACAGTCTCCTAATTAAACTATTGAAATCATATTTTCCAAATAGTGGCTTCAAGAATTGCCAAGCTGGTCAAAAATTAAAGGTATGGTTATTTAGAGAAAGGATATTTTTGTGTGATTATGTAACTTTTTCCATAAATTAATTCGATGATTTGTTACAAAGGATCGTTCTTTTGAACCATTAAGATTGGTAGTACGTGAAAATGAGAATTAGAGCAAATTATTCAGGAGGATATGTTTTTTTCTTTTCTTTTCTTACTGTGCAGTACTTAATAATTGGATTACACAAAATAACTTTTGATCTAATGATCGGATCTTATTATACTGGGACTCAATCTTAATAGTTTAAATATTTGTATTAATTAATGCTGATGATATCAGATGTAAAATCATGCTTTCTCAGAATAAATGTACCTTTGTCCCCGACGCATTTGGATTCCCGGTGCTCAAAATATGCAAAACTATAAGACTCCCTGCAATAGTTTTTTTCCAAAAATCATTTTAATAGTAAAGTAGAAAAAAAAATCACATCTTTTTAAATAATGTTATTTTATGTATGGTAAAAATACAAAATTTGAAGAAAATCTAATGAAGTTCCTGAGAATTTAATTTTAAATATATGACTTCTTTTTCATATCAGATCTTCATATACTACAGAAATATGATTTTATGAAAGTCTTATATATAAAATTAAATTTCTTAGGAACTACTTTTCCAATTTCATTAAATGTTTTGTTGTTGTTGCTGTAGGCTGTTGAGGCAAGGGGAGCGATTGTTCTTTTTCTTCAGTAGCACCATCTATGGCCGAGAATTGCCACTCCCATTTGTCACACCCATTTATAAGGCGGGCGCATTCATACATCCACAGATCGTAATTTTGATCTAAACCAGAGAACGATCAATCTCCAAGTCAGTATTCCCAACTTGTTAGGGAACATAAAGGACTTTGTGACCCGACAGATTTAATATGCACCAGTTACTGTTTACTACATAGGGAGTAATTAGGCGACTGGATTTGAACTCCCGTTCTCACAAACGCGAATCAAGCACCCTGCCAACCAGGCTGTCCTTGTTAAACATTTTATTTTGCTAATAAAAATTACATTTCTTAAAATTTTGTTGAAATTTCTGTACCGTAGGTTCACTTAATATATATGTATATTTAATATTTGTATGTTTTTGTGTCTGATATAGTAGCTTTAAATATCGCCCACATTTATTTATTAGCATATTTGAGACAACTCCATTAATGTATTAAGATAGAGTATGTGTTGATCTGATCACTGGAACAAAAGTTATTCAGGGTGTTCCTTTTTTTTGTTTGTTCGCTTTTTGATTGAAACTAGCTCTCAAATAATTGCTTCTTTATGTTTAAGGCGTATTTGCAAGTGATGATAGTGAAGAAGATGAAAGACCAGGTTTTGGTCATAAAGCTGCTACCAACAGCATGTCTCACATTAACTTCATCAGTGGAGGTGTTCGAACAATTGGGGAAAAAACTGAGAAAAAGGCATCTGAAGAAGAGGATGTAAGAAAGTTTTCTATAATTTCTTCTTATTTATGTTCGACTTAGTTCTTTGTTTAAATCGATTTTTGTTTTAAGTGGTTGACATTTTTAAATTTAAATTTTTGTGAAAATATATTACCATTTAAAAACCTTTTTCTATTACATTTGTAGCAACAAAAAAAAGTTTTGCCCATAAAAATGTATAAAATAGATTTTTTTATTGTCTGAAATTCTTAAAGTAACCTGGTAATCTTACCCTCCTTTTTATGTTTTATTAAAGTCCTATTTTTTATTTATGTTTTAGTGAAACCTGAGTTGTTGTACATTGTTCGTTTGTATGTTATCCCGCTTCTTGCGTCATTTTCTGCTGGTCTGTGAAACTTGCCTATGCCGATAATATTAAAATATCCCAGATTTTATGTTACCATTATGAAGAAAACCCTGATTTATATGACTTCTAACGGATTAAATTCATTTTTTTCTACAAAATTAACACAAACTTTTTGTTGACTACTTGTGATGCATTTTTTTAGTTGTCTACACCTGAAAATCAACTTTAAAAGGAGCAAAATAGNTTATTTATTACCTTAAACTGTCTGGAATTTGTTATTAAAGGGTTGCGCTTGCGTAAAATTTACTATCGTGGAAATTCAGCTTTTTTGCGTTTTGGCTAATCTCATCCCTGAAAGAAGCAAAATAGTTTTTATCACTTTTTATAATCATGTTTTTATATATATTTCTTATCTGTTAAAGATCAAAATTTAGATAAACGTATTGAAATGTTTTAACGTTTTTTATAAAATTTTATTTACTTAATACCCATGAAATTAGTTATAGCAATGACTTACAATTATTTTAAAATTTTTTTTTATAGGATAATTAATTGAAAAGAAATGCATACTTTTATTAGTGAGGCATACCATTTGTAATTAATTTATTATAATATCAATGATCTTATCTAATTTATGCAATTTAACATAATACATATTCATTTTAACATTTTAAAATCTATCTTAGTCAAATATCTTAGTCTAATATGAGAACCATTCAATGTAAAAGTTTAATGAAAATACATTTTGTGTAAAAGATTTTGTACAAATATACCCTCACACAGTAAACACATCTGATGAGGGAGTTAAGGTTAACTTATAATACTATTTTGCCAATTCAGTGAAGTTTTAATATGTAATAAAATAAAAAAAAATTCCTTAAAATATTTTTTTTTTAGACATCTTATAAATGTTTTTTTTTTTATTTAAATTTTTTTTATTTTTAAATTTTATATATATATATATATATAAAGCTTTTTACAATACTTTGAGACAAATTTGATTAATTTTAGTAGTTAACATACGAGATAAAGAGATTACGGTTATTCATACAGTATAAATTCAGCTCTTGATAGAAGTCAATTTACATGGGTGGTCAACTTGTGAGGCTCCACGGTTTTGTGTTTAATAATAAAGTTAACTTCTATAATATAACAAACATTATCCTTCATGGTATTTTGTATTGTGGTACTATCGAGAATAATAATTATCAAATAAGGTACTGTTGCAGTAATTATCAACAATATATAATTCCCTTTGCAAATTTTTTTTTTAATAATTACTCTTTGATTTTTTTAAAATCATAGGCTGATGAGGTATTCATATTTTTCCACAGAAAATCATTAATGAAAAATTTCTTTATTAATTAACTGATTATTATTTTTGAAATTTTTTTGTTTAGTTTTGGGTTCAGTTTGTTTATTCATTGAGCTAGATTCTGATCTGTGTTTAAATTTTAAAGTTGTAAGCATTTGTGACTTAGAAAAAATTTGAATTCGGAAGAAATTTTAGAAATGTTTACAACCTTAAAATTTTTTAACTCTGTATAATATAACATTTTGACATCAAGCAAGTTTTGTTCATGTTCCTTAACATCGAGAAAATAAAATCAGTTTTCTGTCTGATCTGGGTATTTAAGAGCTATAGAATATTTTAGAAAATGTTGAAATTTTTTTTCCTTAAATTTGGTAACAAATATTTCATTAATTCAGCTTTAGAAAATTGGAAAAGGTGTCATAAAGTATAGATATTTTTCTGAGAGTATGTCATAATACTAAAATCCTGACAACTAAAGTATAGCGCCTTATAGCTGATTAATAAAAAAATAATTAAAGCTTTTCAATCTAAAAGTTGCATATAAATTGTAATATCTATTTTAGCATTTCTTATAGTTGTTTTGTTTGGCAAGGAAAATAAAAAATTTTTTTTTTGAAATTTTTGTTCTGTTATTTATTATTTTTTGTTGTTGTTAAACAATTGAGTTAATAAACATTTCATTCTCTTAATATTTCATTGTTTAATAGTTTTAAATAAATAAATAAAAGTAAATATCAAGTTATAAAATTAAAGTATGAAAGAAACTTGCATTTTTTATGTAACCAACCAACATCTGAAAACAGTTCTTAAAAAATATTTGCTTATTTGCAAGAACTACAATGAAAAAACTTATTCACCTGAAATGTAGTATTACCATGTTAGTGTAAAATAAAAATCTTCCCCTCAAATCATGAAAATTCTAATAATTTAGAGGCGGAAAGCTGAAATTCGATTGCTTAGCAATATTTTGCTTTAGAAGGTTAATGTTGAGTTGAATAATTTTATTTTTTTTGTTTATTTCTAGCAAAGTTCTAGTGAAGAAGAGGCGAAACCCAAGCCACCCCCACCCAAACAGTATGGCAATCAAAGAAGTGGAATGAGTGGTAGTCGAAATGCTCATCAAATTGCAGGCCTTAGATCCTTTCAAAAAAATGCTAATAACAGGTGTGTATGGTTTTTATGAGTGAAATTTTACTTTTTTTAATCTTCAGTCATTTGATTGTTTTAGACAGGGATAACCTTTTTTGGATTTGTCAAAAAAAATGAAATTTGCAATGCTAGGGGTGCTGATATAAAAATTAAATTATTTAATGTTAAATGAACCTGAACTAATATATTTGCAAGGTTACAAAGCAAATTATGATTAATATATATATAAAAAGAAATTGAATCTGTATCTAAAGGGTGTATCGGAAAGTCGAACTGGTCCGATAATCAGAGAACATTTTTAAAGTCAGTTTTTTTTTGTATAATCAATAAACTACTTAAAGAGAAAGCACTTACTTGTGTTATATTATTCTGTCTAAAGGAATGATGCAATATCAAAAAAACAATATTATTAGCTTTTAAAATTTTTGTTTTTTACTTCATTGTCATTTTCCAGCAGTGAGAATTTAATACAGTAGGGAGAGTAGGGTGAGAATTTAATACAGTAACCGATTATCCGGAACGATCGGGACCATCATTATTCCGGATAACTGATTTTTCCGGTTTTCTGAATAGCTACAAAAGCCTTTTTTTTAATTGTTAAACCCAACTAAAAAAAGAAAATATTTGGAAATAATTTTAAAAAGAGGAAATAAAGATGAAGTAATACACTAATGATTATTTCCAAAATGATGGTAAGGTAAACATCTTTCAAAAAAGAAAGAAAAATCCTAAAATCTTACGAGGAAAACAATTTTTTTTTTTTTAAAATGGGGGGAAAATTTACATAATTTTGTTCCAGTTTTCTGATTTCCGGATAACGGGTTCTGTACTGTAATATAATTTAAAACGTGAGTAATATAATCTGTAATAATGATAAAAGTTGTATCAGAATGTTTTCAATGCTTGTCGGAAGTGTAAGTGAACTGATTTGTGGCATGATCGAGCATTGGATGGTTGAAGCTCTAATGTATGTATGTATTTATGTAACAATATGTTTAAAATAAGCAGTGAAGATTTCTTTAAATTCTTTCAAATAGTTTTTGAGATAAAGAGCAATGAATTAGTTTATTAAATTGGTAAAATGCATCTCTGAATCCCTTTAACCTTTTCATGGTAATTTTATATTTAACATTTTTTCTTTTAAAAAAACAAGCAAAAAAAAAAACAGGAATAAAAGAATATAGCGTTTAAAATTTAATGAAATTTATAGAATGAATTTTAATTTAATTTCTTGATTTTTTAAAGCTCTTAACTTCAAAAAACAATTGGAGACTTGAGTGGGTGATGGATCTAAGGGACATTTTAGTGAACATGAAGGCAATTGGGGGCAATGATTATGCCTTTCTTTAATTTCATGTTCACAAGCTTTTGATTGTTGAAATCTTTAAAGCTCTACAATCATTTAAGCTATCTGTATTTTAATCTTCCCACCCTTAACATTTTTATTTTCAACAAAAATATGGACTTTAAAAGGTCACTTGTGAGCTGTTTGTTCCCAAATGTGCTTAGAACTTTCTTCCACTGCAAAAACAATCAGAGATTGTACCTTCATCCTCAGAAATTTATGACATTTAAATACTTAGTAAGTAAATAAAGTGCTGTTGTATAGTTAAACTAGACTAAAGATAGAACTTTCCTGATAAATATAACCTTCTCTCACAAAGCACTTCAATTAGCTATGAGATTTTAAGAATTGTAATATTTTTTTTCTTCAAGTGATTTTGGAAGCTGGGAAAAGCACACCAAGGGAATTGGCCAGAAGTTGTTGCAAAAGGTAATACTACATTTATTCTCCATTCAATTTGCTACTGAGAAATGTATTATAACTTACCTGTCAATTTTTCCAAGTTTTCTTTAAAGATGCTTTCTGATTTATTGATATGGAAACTATATAAAAAATAATTATTTTTATTAAAAGAAAAGTTTCTATTCGTAAAAAAAAAAAAAAAAAAACTTGTTTTAACCAGGATTTCTTGGAAGAAACCTATATTTTTCAAGAAGTAAAAGAAAAAAAAAACGATTTATTTTATTGCAATCTTAAAATGTTTTTTATTTTATTAATATTGTTTTCATTTTATTGTTTTTCGAAAATGTATGACTTATCGAAGTTTTCATTAAATTTCTTATTTAAATTATAATTTGTCTTCTTTTTAAATAGTTTTAATTTTTTTTCTTTAATTTGTTTTAAAAATCAAAATATTCAATTTTTACTTAAAAATTTATTTTGACTTTCATATTTAGTGTTCCCTAATTCAATACATTTCTTTATACTTTCATAGATGGGATATGAGCCAGGAAAGGGCCTTGGAAAAACACTCCAAGGAATAACTACACCGATTGAGGCAAAATTGCGTAAAGGAAGGGGAGCGATTGGTCTCTATGGTCCTGAACAGCCCACCATGATGCGCGTGGGTGGAGAACAATCTATTGAAACAGAAGAAAGTAGTGAAAAACCACATCAAAGGCAGTGGAAGAAGAAAACTGGAGTAAAGAACCCTCTTACTTTAAATTATTAATCTTACTATAGAATTTTTAATCATTTTAGCTATGTTAATTAAGTTTAGATGTTACTTTGAATGACTGAAATGGGCAGTTGACTTCCACCCGTGAATGTTGACAATGTCATAGTCGCTTTGGTAAATGTCCGAAATATGTACTAGGTCTAGTTAAGTACCACTGTCCGGTATACCCTACCCTGATGTTTTTTTAAGATCAATTGCCACTGCCCAATATGCATTTAACCATTACTCAGAATACTGATATTTCTCCTAATCTTTTCTCAGCAGACATTAAAATGTCAAATAAATATAATTATACCAACAAATAAATTAATATCAAGTCAGACATAACAAATATTTCGAACATTCGCTGAAGCGACTGTGATTATTGTCATTCACAGTGACATGGACATTTAATCTGGTATATAAAATATACCCCCCTCATATTTAATGTTTCCATAATGTTAGTATTTCATTTTGTGTCTGATTTTGTGAAGTTGTAGTTCACTAATATTATTTAATTTTTAATATCTTAGTATTTTCATAAATTGGTTTTTTATCATTTCAGCTGTAATATTGAGAGCCAGTTTTGTATAGCCACAAAATCGTATACTTTTTTCAGGGCTTCTAATAAAAAAAAAAAGATCAGATCAAAGATGCCTTGATTAATAGTTGGCACTATTTAATTTGTATATTTAAGTCTTTTTGCTTGTTATTTTTCAGTCATTTCAGTTATAATAATTAATTTGTGATGGCTATTGTTTTGTCACAAAATAAGACGTGGATTCAAGGTTTCCGAAGTCGAAAAATGTTTTTTAAAAGATTGTATCTGATTTTGTAAATAAATAGTTATCACTCTTTAATTTTTATAGATTAAGTGTTCCTCTCAAACCTTAAAAAAAAAAAAGAAGAAAAAAATATATAGCTTATAAAAATTTTATCTCTAGGTCAAAAGAGTTTTTTTATTAGCCTTTTTAATTTGCTTACTATTTTTGTATTTCACATAAATTCTGAAATTATTCCAAAATTAAATATAGTCTTGCTCTTTAAATAAATAAGAATTTCATACCTTACTTCCCTTCTGAAAATTAATTTTTTGTATGCTGCAATATTTGTGATTATAAACTTTATACATTAGCGTACCTTTCATTTAACTATCTCAATTATTGTATTTATGTTCATTTAATTCTACATTGATAGTTGCTTTAGGATAATATATATCAAAACAAAATTCGCCATAAGTTCACAAATAAAAATTCGTGTCAAATTTTAACTCCTTAGTTGTATTTCAGTAGGCTATTGATCGACCAAACATGGTTTTTTCCCTCTACAAAATGAACAGAATTAATAATAAATAATTCTTGAACTAATTTAATTGTCAGAATTTTTTTTTGATGTATATTTTTTGTTTTGTTATATATAATTGTTTCCAATTTTCTAAGTCTTATCGATTTTGTGCAAATAAAATATTAAGGCAAAGCAGAAAAAAAATATATTAAGGTTAAGCAAAAAAAAAGAAGAAAAAATATTAAGGTAAAGCGAAAAAAAAGTGAGAAAAAACTTAAAAAAGCACCTAAAATTCCATTAATTGTCAAACAAAGTGAGACTTCAATAAAAACTTTGTCAAGTTCTTTAACAAATATGGCTCTTTAAGCATATCAGATTTCAACTGTGTAGTTGCATTCCTGTGACCTGTAGAGCAGTTCATATGGTATTTTCCCCTCAAGTTAAATAGTTAATAATTCTCTAACTAATTATCGAAAGTTAAATTTTTTTATTCGAATGTACTCCCAGTACATTTTTCTAGATACTCTCATAATTTCACATTCCTATGTCTTAAAGTTTTTGCGCAGCGAAATGAAATGTAACATTGAGTTGAACACTTGAAGCAATGGTGTCGGCAGTCCTTACAATTTAATATAGAGGAAACATAAACACAAATCATAGTTAATATGCAGATCTCTATCCCATAATTTATTATCTTGCAATTTCTGGGAAAATTTTGGAGAAACTGCTGAAGTTACAAGAATGTTTAATGTTTAATAGCATTTTCTTTTGCATGAATATTTTCAAATAATGAGATTTATTACAACATTTCTGCTGCATTTTTTGGCATTGGTTTGAAAGTGTGATAACTTATTTACTCAAATACAAAAATCTCTTGAGAGATTGAAATGGGTTCTTAATCTGTTTTGAAGACTTTTGATCAAAACTACAACCAAAATAAAGAATAGAATTAAAAAGAAAGAGAGTTAGAAATGTTTGTATAAAAAAATTCCATTGATAAATAAAGATAAATAATGTCTCCGCAAAGCTTTTACTGTTGCCCTAATAGTGCATGTTTTTGCTTTTGTCATGCTTGCTTATTCCATTGGTCTTGCTTTTAAAAAATGAATGTAAAAATACTGAAGTATTGTTGACTACGATTTATGACACATTGACATGTAATTTAATTTGAATTCTATTTTTTACAATTTTTAAATGCAATTAAGTAGATAAAAATCAATAATGTTATCACTTTTAATTATGAAATGACTGAGTATTTGGGGTGTCTATAGATGTCTCTCTCTTGTTGATTTTCAGGTCAAAAAAAAATAATAATATTAATTATATTTGTGAAAAGGGATATATTAAGGAGAATTTTAATTTTCAAACTTGCTCAAATTTAGAATGTTGGAGTAACGTCCCTGCATCTGCAAGGTAAAAACCAGAGTGTTTTTCAGTATTTGTTAATATTTGTTTTTTGTACTAGGAATTTCTTCTTTTTAATAACACGAAGGTTTTCTAAAATTGTAAATAAAGTAATTATGATTTATTTTTTTTACGAGGAGTCTTAATTGGAAATAACAATATTAATTTTTTTCAGGATCGTAAGCCAAAGATAGAATACTATGCACAAAGTGTGGAAGAAGCTTTGGAAGAAGGGGCTACAAAGCGATTTAGAGGTGATACTTCATACCCGATCAGCTCAGTCAAAGTGATAGATATGACAGGTCCTGAACAAAGAGTTTTGACAGGTAAATTATTGGATATACATTACACAAAAAAAGAAGCATTCTCAATAGCTTTTGACCCAATGATTGGATTTTGACATTCTAGTGCTCAATGTTACAGGTTTGAAAAGGTGACCTCAAATATGCTAATAATTAGTGAAGATAGTATTTTAAGCTACAAAAACATATTTTTTAGATGTATTTACGATACAATACGTCTAAACGTATTAATTAACACTTAACGTATAAACGTATTTAACATACAATATATTTTTTTGACAAATTCAGATTTCTGACACTCAAAATATGGGGTGTAACAGCAATCTGAGAAATATGGCCCCCATAGTTTAGTTTGGAGAGCAGTCTTAAGTTTGGACCCGTTAATTTTACTTTTTGCCATTTCTCGAAAATTTTTTAAGCAAATTGAAAAATTTTTGCACACAATTAGGCTTGTTTTTCCAACGATAATCCCATGCAAAAAATAATTTTTAATGATAATTATATTTATATATATTTTGTATTTAAATATATTTTATATTTAAATGTATTTTATATTTAAATGTATTTTATATGTAAATATATTTTATATTTAAATATATTTTTTATTTAACAATAGTAGAAAAAATTGTATTGTAAGGCAAAATACAAAAATATATTTACTGAAAATTTATAAGGCAAAATACAAAATTTGAATGAAATCGATTTAATAGTTCCAGAGTAAGACTGAACAATATAAGATAATTGTAGATATATTGTTTGTTAGACATTGCAATATAGTAATGTATAGCAATGTAACATGCATTCTAATATTGTTTCTTTTGAATCAAAACTGCACAGTAAGAAATTTCAAATCAATTTAAAATGATTAAATTTGTAATGAAAGAAAATGTCAATTATAAAAAATGCTTTTATCGCATAAATAACATTGATTAATTTTTTAAATTCAAATAAAAAAATTGGATTGACTTACAATCGAATTCTGAATATAAAAACATGCGTAAAATTTTTTCCAAAATTTTTATTTCAATTAATTATGACTTTAGATTTAAATAATACCTGAACTAAATATTAAACGATAATGAAAAAGTTTCTTTCAAAAAACGAATTTTTTTCTTTCATCGAATTTTAAAATAATTCACGAAAAGATAGAGAAATCCACAGTGCTCTGTTAATAAAATATCTGCAGAAGAGAGCTTAAGTCGAAGAACTATGCAAGTTATATTAATTGAAGATCTGGGTTTTCGCTCTTATCACAAAAGAAAGGTTCAAGGCCGGGCAACTGCACAAAATTAGAAAGGTTACAAAGATGTAAGAAATTGCCGAACCGGCACGGTAACGAAAGTGTTGACAGAAAAATTTTTTCTGGTGAAAAAATATTTTGCACAGAACATAGTTCTGGTGCTAAAATTAATGTTGTATATTCAGCAACCTTCGATTACATACCTGAAAGTGTAAAAACTGTGCACTGCTTTCAGAGCAAGAATTTTGTAATGGTTTGGGCTACAGTGCCAAATAACGGAAAATTTCCTCTGAAATTAATCGATAAAAGGGTAGAGATCAATGCTGAATATTACAAAAAAGTATTGGCTGCACATATATTGCCACATGCTTACAGATTTTATCCCAAAAAGGATTGGATATTTCAGCAAGATTTTGCGCCGTCACTCCGAACCAAAACTACACACGCTTGGCTCCATGTCAATTGTCCGAAATTTATTAAGCAAGAAAATTGGCCCTATTCTTCATCAAATCTAAATCCTTTAGACTATTGTGTTTGCTGTATTCTAGAATCTAAAGTTAATGCTAAGTAGCACAGAAGTTAGGACTTGCTCATAGCTTCTTTATTGCATGAATGGGACAAATTACCTCTTTAAATGACTAGTGCCATCATTGAACAATGGTGAAAAAGATTATCTTCAGTAATCGATAAAGACGGTGGTCGATTCAAATAAAACATTTTTAAGGTAAACTTCTATTATAGTGTGTCCTGCAGTGGACTGATCGTTAAGACACGGTTCCCAGCAAATCACCGAAGTCAAGCATCACTGGCTGCGGTCAGTTTGCGGGTGGATAACCACTTGGATCAGTCTGCATAGGGACCGAGGGTGTGCGGTATTTTTTGTATAATTTGAATAATTCCTAATTATGACCTGTATTGCGTCGAAATGTATCACTTTTACCCTAATTAAAATTCTGTTATTTATGCTGAGTTGCATTATTTCTGTAGGTTACCATCAAATTGCACAACAACAACGTAGACGACCAGAACAAGAAGTTGAAGAATCTAAGCCTCAGACAAATAAAGGTGAACACTTCTCTTTGCCAGAATTAGAATACAATTTGAAGCTTTTGAGAGACGACGAAAAGAACAAAATAATTCAGTGCGAGAGGCAGAAACAGTTTGCGGAAGATAGAATCATAACTTTGGAACACGAGCAAAAGAGATTGCAGCAGGTACTGATTCAAGAGGAAAAACAGATCCTAACATTAGAAAAAGTTTTAAAAATTGTTGACAGGTAAATTGATTTGTCCCTTATTGAATCTATATGTCATTCTTAAACTGCAAAGTGTAAGTATTCTCTTCTGCTGTTTTACAATACTAAAAAAATATTCTAAAAAGACGAATTTAATTGTTGTTGGCAAAATAAAGGACAACTGATCCTTAATAATCTTTTATTTTCTTCTTCTAAATTACCTTTTAGGAGGGAGGGAGGTTATAAAAGATCCTTTACCTAGAGGTGTCTTAGTTGCCATTTCTCCTTTTTTGTTTGTTTGTTTGTTTTGTCAATCTTCTTTCTTTAGTTTTTATGTTTCAAATAGTTTTAAACACAATTAGGATAGTGTTACCTTGAGAATTGCTCTACATGACAACATTTGGTATCATATGATTAAACTGGATATTCAATTCAAATATTTTTACAAAATTGATTTTTTGCACTAAATTGATATTAATTATTGATATATTATATTGATTACTTTAATGATGCCTGATATTGTTTAAAATCCATAAAAGGGGAAAACATTTTCATAAATTATAATACAGTATAGAACCCGTTATCCGGAAATCAGAAAACCGGAACGAAATTCAATATATTTTCTCGCCATTTTTAAAAAAAAAAAATTTATTTCCTCATAAGATTTTACGATTTTTCTTTCTTTTTTTGAAGATGTTTACCTTACCATCATTTTGGAAATAATCATTAATGTATTACTTCATCGTTTTCTCTTACTTTTAAGATTATTTCCAAAGATTTTTTTTTAGTTGGGTTTAACAATAAAAAAAACGGCTTTTTGTAGCGATTCAGAAAACCGGAAAAATCAGTTATCCGGAATAGTGATGGTCCCGACTGTTCCGGATAATCGGTTACCTACTGTATAAGTTTAGAACTACAACTAAATCCGTATACATGTTACTTGTTTAAATATCTGGGAAAAAAGATTGTTAAGTTCTATTTCCTTAAAAATGTTTAAAGGAACTCATTTACTTATTAATAATTACATAATATTCAATAATTTATCAGTTTGAAGGTAAATTTAATGCATTTCCATCAGCTTTAATATTTATTAACAATTAAAAGAAATTTTTATTTGATTTTGTTAATTTGAATAATTTTGAAAATTGTTTGAATTTCTCGCAGTCAAACTTTCAAAACATTTATAGCAACAATACTCTTTTGAGAGTTTGTAACGTTCTGTTGAATAAAAAATCATCAAATGACTGAGGTTACTTTTCAAAATTTGGCATTTTGTTTATTTTAGTGATTTTTGTTTATACGTCTTTCGGTAATTGCATAGTGATTTGTTAGGAGGCAGAGCTGTCTCAATGTGCGTCGTAGGTAATTAGCATATATTTTTGTAATGTAAGAATCCAAATCTGCAATAATAGTTTTTATTAATTATTTCTAAGTTACCCTTTTGCACTACCTCAGTTGGTGAGATTGAAAGGATGGAGTTTTGTATCTTTTGATAATATTTTAGATTTTTGATCCAATGCATATTTCTCAATGTACTTTTTGAACACCCTGTATATTTATATATTTTTATTCTTATCAGACATTATTTTTATGCTATTTAGCTTGGAAAGTAATAAAGAAGAAGAGGATTGCAGTGAAACATTAGAGATGGCTGCTAAAATTTTTAAGGATCTTCAAGATGACTATTATGAAGAATATAAAATGTACAACTTGAGTGATTTGGCCATCACTATTGTTGGTCCTTTGGTAGGACATTCTAATTTATTTTTTCATTAATTAATATCAAATATCTCTAACAGGGCTCAAAATTGTCCTTGAATTCCTTAATTTCCTTAAAAATAAAGTGTCCTTAATTATTAAACATTTCAATATATGCCTTGAAATTTTTGTGATTTTTTCCAAATTTTTGTTGAAGTTAAGAGGAAGAAAAAAATATTATTTATCTAAAAAAGAATTGATGAAATTTCAAATTCAAAAATTATGTTAAATGCCAGGAAAATAACATGAAGGACAAAGTTTTTATAGTGCGTCGAGTACAATATTAATCTACTTCCAGTATTAGTGACAATTACCCTTGATTTGATGGCATAAAAGCAATTGGTGTGGGAGAAATATATAAAACGTTCTTATCTCTTTACTCTCTCCTCATCACTATGTCATACTCTACTGTTTTTCATAAGAAAATCCTTGTATTTTGCTACTACTTGAAAATTTTCCTTATTTAGACTATAATAGTCACAATGGAATTTTGTAACAAGTTCTTTTACCCTTTTGTGAAAAGTGAAGTGCAGAGTTAAGCCCTTGTTTTTTTCTTCATTTTCTTAATTTTTACTATTTCTTATTTACTTTTTAATTTTCCTATATACTTTATCAATAAATTTTANATTGGTGTGGGAGAAATATATAAAACGTTCTTATCTCTTTACTCTCTCCTCATCACTATGTCATACTCTACTGTTTTTCATAAGAAAATCCTTGTATTTTGCTACTACTTGACAATTTTCCTTATTTAGACTATAAATCAATAAATTTTATAGTAAAATAAACTTAACAAATGACATAAGTTTTCTATTTAAAAATTATGTTGTCTAGTAAGACTGAATAACATTCATGTTTTAACTCTAAACCTTTAATAGCTTTCGATTGACCGCTTTTGAGACTAATAAAAAATGCCTTTTATTTTGTTCAACATATTTTATTGGTAATCATAAGGTGCAAAACTATTTTTGACTCCAAGTGACATTAAATAATTGTTTCTTTTATTGATGATTGAATAAGTACAATAATAACAAGGTTCTAAATATGGAACAGATTCTTGAAAATTTCTGGTGTATTCCTCCAGTTATGCTGATCAACAAATTCTCAGTCAGGCTTCTTTTCTAATGACTTTAAATAGGTTGATCCAGGGTCTGGCTTTAATTCTTAGCAATGAATTATAACTTTTTATAGTAAAATAATTTAGCAGACTACTCTTCAAAATTTTGTTGCAATTTCCCTCTTTTCCCATTCATTGGGTAAATCAATTTTTGGATGCAGAAAGCCTGCAGCTCAAAATTCAGAAAATGCCAAGATTGACTCTCACAGGGTTAAAACTGACAGCAATCTTTAACTGATTACAGTAGAATCTCGATCGATCATTTCTTGTGAGACCATGCATTGCAAGCAATAGATACTGAACCGAATATCAAATAATGTCTTACAAATTTATAAAAAGTAATAAAAAAATAATGAACTTAAAATTAATAATTAAAATAATTATGCAAAATTATTTACTATGCAAAAGAAAGATGTTTGCTTAAAATATTTGGAAATTTTGGTTTGAAAAAACTTTTTTTTTAAGTGTAAGCAATAAAGTTTCCACATTTGTATCAGATTGCTGTTCATTTTCTGTAAGTTTGTGTGAATAGAGAAAGTTTATCATTGTTTCAAAGCCTTCTGCAAATATTGGCACTGGTTGTGGTTTTATTTGTCTGCCTTCCTTATCACTTTGCACTTGTTCAATTTCTTGAATTGACAACACAAGCTTCAATCAACTGATAGGTAAACATCAAATGCGTGTTAGAAGCGTTTCCCTTAAATGGGGAAAATTTTCGTTAGCATCAGAAGTTACTGTTTTTTTTTCTTCATTAAACGAAATAACTACTATATTTTTTTTGAAAAGTTGTTTGAATTTCTAAATGTTAGACGCAAGAACCTGCTAAGTTTGAAGAAGGGTCTAAACAGCTATTATTAACGTGATAAGAATAGGATTTGTCAGTGGATAGTTAAAACAATTCAGAAAACGAAAAATGCAGAAATGATGGATCGAGTTTCAAGTCAGTGGTCTGTCCAGGCTGAATTTACTACCGTTTAGCGGTACCTTCACAAATTCAACTTTAGGAAAAACGGTAGTTTCACAAATTCAATTTTAGGAAAAACGGTAGTTTCACAAAATACTTTTTCTTAAAATTTTATTTTTGTATCCCTTAAGAAACGATAAATCCATATTTTTGTGTTGATTTTTTAATATAATTTTTAATTTTTTACAAATTATGTCTAAATTTTCACAAAATAGGTACCTCTCAGAAAAACCTAGACAGACCCCTGCAAGTGTTATCTTCTCAGATTAGCTAATATATCTTCCATAAATTATGAAATTTTGAAGCAGATAATTGAAGGCTTATTCATAATATTGTTTTATTCAAATTCCTTATTTGTCTCCACACAGAATATCATAATAAATTTATCATATTTTATATGAAAAAAAGATTCTGAATAGATATTTCAGCAACACAACGGTTATATCACATCAAACAAGTTTTAAAATGTTAAGTTTTGTAATTTTTTATATAGCTTATTTAAAATAAATATATCTGTCCAAAGGTTGAGAAACTCATATCTGATTGGAATCCACTGGAACAACATCTCCACTGCATAGATATCTTTAAAGACTGGAAAACTCTTCTGGAATCTGACAGTTCTGCTATATCTGGTATGGGACAAGAACCTGAACCTTATCATCATCTTATATGGGATGTCTGGATGCCCCCTGTTCGTAAAGCCATTTTGTATGTTTTTTAATTTATAGAGTTAAAGTAAGAGTACTTTACCAAGGTTTCATCAACTCAAATTTTATTACCTATTTACTGTTTTAAATACATTTCGTAATCGAAAGTATAGTTCTGCAGTCATATAACTAGTCACGGTGCAAAAAACTCAATTCCCAAAATTCATAGCTCAATGCAAAAATTAAATAATACTTCAGGTTTAACACACTTTGCTATTCCATTCAGTAAATGAATAGCTAAGTGTGTTAAGTCTGAAGTATTATTTAATTAAGTAAATGAATAGCATAGTCTGAACTATGCTGTAATTTTTCGATTAGTATCCATCTTTCATGGACATTTTTAAAGATTGTTTCTATATTGGAAAGCGATGTTTCGCAAACGAATTCCAGTAACCACAAATGCAGGTCACATTGTGGTTACTGCTAAGAAGAAGAAATAGTAAAGTGTCCATTATTCAGTATTTATTTGATAATAGCTAGTTCCTAATCAAACATTGCAATGGGATTTTCCATCCTGTGCAAATCAAAAATGTATGAAGAGTAGGAAAAAATAAGTACAATTAAGCCAACAAAAGATTTAGAAATACCGATATCATAGGCTAAAATTAGATTAGGCATTTTAGCTAATGGCCAATTGCTGACTCTAGCATTTTTTACTGTGGCCACTTTTTCTAAAATTTTATGTAATGTAATGAAACTGAATTTCTTAAACTATTAAAAAAATTGTTGATATTAATATTGTAAGGCATTTATTTTAAATCCTCTCTCAAAATATGATTTTCTAAAATGAATAAAATATTTAATGACGTAGTGTGATAGTTATTTTCAGAATGTTATAAAATATTCATAATCACATAGTTATTAATAAAGAAATATAGGGTATACTTTTGACGGAAAAAATTGGCGACTGGCCGAAATTTTTTTAAAAATTTCTAGTAATTATATTTAGTTGCCCTGTGAGCTGAAGGTGACTGTTAATTTTGCACACTTGTATCTGTGGGTACAACCAGCTGAGCAAACGTGCATGTGCAGGGCGAAATTTTTGACGCCTCAGCCAGTTGTAAACAGCGAAAAGTTGCCAAATGTTGCAAACCTATCCGTTTACAACTGGCTGCGAGATTTTCGGCTTTGGATAGAAAGTTTATCAAATCATTGCCAGATGGCGCTAAATTTCGATGAACAGATGGTGATAATGAAGAATACATTTTCATTTAATAATGATATTAAGTTTTTAATGAATTTTTAGAGAATACATGATTTTTTAAAATTGTCTTATAATATTCATGACAAGAAAAAATAAGTGTGTGAAGTAATTAACTTGTAATATACTATTATATAATTAATCTTATATAATAGTATCTTTGGCTATACCCATATCTTTAAAAGTATGCAAACTCATGATAATTTTTTATTTAAAAGAATTTTTCAAACATATGTATGTATATATATGCATTCCAAATTCATGCGAATAGTTAGATAAATAGCTATATATTAACAAAATCTATTATTTAAGTGATAGTACATATTTTTCTCATTAAGAAATTGTATACAATTCAAAAACAGAGTATTTGGTAATTCAGTTTCACTATCTTAACATTTCATTCTTTGTAAATATTAAAGATTGATACAAAACATGGATAAAATTAATTTGATCCTATTCAGAACACTCATTTAAAGCCTACTTCATACAAATAGGTAAAATTATAGTTATATGTAAATTAATTTTACATGATTAAATATTGCAATGAATATGATTAAATAATATAATTTTAATATGATTATGACAATCTTACTGCTTTAATTATTATTTCTCACATGATTAGGCGAAGCATAATTTGCCTTAAAATCTGTATTTGTGACACAGAAGATTTAAAAAGATTCTTAGAATTGAAGAAACAAAAATAGACAAGCATATAATGACACTTCACTGAAATTATACATTTAGTTGTTAATTATGTGGTTTTAAGCATTTAAGTACAATTTAAAAATTATTGCCAATAAATAATGTTTCATGGAAATTCAGCCACTTGATAACCCTTTGCATTCTGAGTACTTTAAAATGATTTATTTTTCTTACAAGTTTATTTAAAATATACAATGGATTACCAATTTTTAATAACTAACAATCATAAAATAATGTAATTAATATTAAAAAATTTTTTTAAGTGGTTACTTTTGATGTCACTTCAGAATGATTAGAAAATTTAAAAAATAATAGGTAATCCTTTCTTAAAATATAAGTTATCTTGCCATATTGTACTTTAGTCTATACTGTTATTATGCCTTATACTTACTGAAGTAATAAATATTTATCAAATAAGTAACACCAAGAGAAGCATATTTTATCTTAAAAACCATTTATCACACTGCAAAATATTAAAATCATAAAACAAACATCAATTAACAAAATTACCTAACTCAAACTGTATATAAGCCCATGTATTAGTAAAAACTGAACAGTAGGCTTATTATTTGGGAATTCACGTGAAAACCTTGTACAAGCTGTAAATAAAAAAATAAAAAATTAGGCATGCTATGCTTGTAAATAAAAATGCACCCTCTTGCAATAACGGTTACACAGTACGTTTAAGCATGAACATAATGATTCATGATTAGAAGATTAAATAATAAAGGTATTCCATTCAAATTGTCATTATTTTTCTTTTAAATTCTTATATACAGGCATTCAAATTTCATCTATTTTACGTTTTGTATGCAAGTTTCACAATATTTACCTACTGTCATTATTTCGCCACAAAAGGAGAGGCACTTTTGGTAATGTCCTAGTGTAAATTTTCAAAGCTAGTGAATCGGATAAGCTGACCTCTCTCCTTTAGCATTCATAAATGCTTTGCTCATGATTGGACATGGTAATTAAAACACATTGGGCACCAATGAATATCTCACTAACTGTCCTACTTTGGCTCTTAGATTTAGTAAGATAATGCAACACTTAATATGCACCAAAATTGTTAAACATCTAGGTATCCAAAATCCATAGGTTAAATGAACTATTTATATTAGCTGCTAAAAAGACTTAAATATAATGCAGTATATGTTAATCCACATGGAATTCCACATACAGCTTAATAATACAATATATATATCTTTTTATGAGGATGTAAACAAAAACTATATGCATATAAGGTAAAATACTCTCCATTATACTTACTAATACACCTATATTATCAGATTCCCAAAAAACTTCGCATTGAAAAATTTGTTTGTGGAAATCAAAAGATGCGGCTTAGAAGGGGCAATAGAAGGAAAGACTCGTTATCAAAATAATAAACAAGTTCCCTCACTAAAGCCCCACTGAGCCATCGTGCATCATAGATTATCGCTAAACTGCATCACTTCTCCACAGTTAAAGATAATGCTTGCGCAACCTCTGATTAAGAAATCTTGCAGTACTTATATACATTCTGGTATTTCATGAATTATTGATGGGAAATATATATAATTATAAAATAATCTTAACTTTACTGGAATTTTGCACAAGTAAATTCAGTTGAAAATATGTCGCTAAATACATCAATTAGTAAAAACTACACCTATTATAAAACAATGAATGAATCAGATAACATTTGAGAGATGTAATACGGTGCTCTTTAGTATTAACTTAGTTAAATTTAATTCAATGTGATATACAAGTCTACAGTTACCACATTACTACATAAGCTCAATCATAGTAGTCAATTTTTTATATCATAGAAAAACAATAGGGATTATAAACACAATACGTCTAAAAATTTCAATAAATTCATCTTTATAAGCATCATAATTTAAGAATCTACATACGGTTATATAATCTTAAAGAAAAGTAATTATAATGTCAATGTACCATCATTTACAATTAATAACCTTTTAATTGTAAATGATGGTACATTGACACCTTTTAATACCATATAATTACCTTTTATTATATTTTCTACACACATAAAAGAATTAGAGGAACAGCTCTGAAATTTTTTATTGATTATTGTTTATATATGCAAAAGAATAAACTATCGAATCTTTAAAATAATACTATTTTATTAACAGACATTTCTTATTATATCAAAGATAAAATCGAAAAAACAAATATGTAACTAAGCCTAATTCAGTAGCGTGGAAATCTTTAACTACTTTATCACAGATAATTAGAATTATAAAATGTCGTAAACGTCAAAAAATAAATTGATGCAGTATTATAAACAGAAAAAAATTATTTAAAACAATTAACTTACTTTATTTACTGAATCATAAATGAAGAGCCTAGAATAACAATAGCAATCGAAGCTGAACTTGATTACACCTGTAAGCAACAAATTATGTATACCTCCGCGCAATTTCTTCAACAGGGTTACTTTTCGAAATTATTTGGTGAAAATTAAATTCTAGCCAAGCATTTCAAGCGTCATCATACAAAAGCGTTTCAGACATACGTATTTTGCACTGTAACGGACATTGTGCATGAAACCCCTAAATTAGACCATTAATAAAAATTGTAGTGTAAAGAATTAGTGATTTTGTATTTTAATATATAAAGTATTACATAACTTAAAAAATAGGTCTTGGCTATGGGAAATTTTAAATACTGTATGTCAGAATTTGAAAAGCATATCTTTCCAACACTCAAGCCAGGGGTTTAATCTTTTCAAAAATATGAGTTCCATGACCTTTAAAGGCTTTAGTAATCTTTCTTCTTTTATTCTTGTTCCATTCTTTGTTTTGCTTTTGAATTTGGTATTACAGTACAGAACCCGTTATCCGGAAATCAGAAAACCGGAAAACCAAAAAACCGGAACGAAATTCGATTAGTTTTCCCGCCATTTAAAAAAAAATTTTTTTTTTTCCTCATAAGAATTTAGGATTTTTTGTTCTTTTTTGAAAGATGTTTACCTTACCATCATTTTGGAAATAATCATTAATGTATTACTTAATCGTTTTTTCTTTTTAAGATTATTTGTAATTTTTTTTTCCGTTGGGTTTAACTACAAAAAAACGGCTTTTTGTAGC